GTAGGGACCCATAATCGCCTCTGCGTAAGAGCGCGGGGTCGGGATGTCTGGTGCATCTGGGTCTCCCTCAGGTGCAATCAGCATGGACACGAGATGAGGTACAGCAGCTGCAAAACACTGAAAGTCCTCCTGCCTATCCTTAAGGACGTCCATGCCAAGAGCACACTCACCCCCGACGGACGGAGGATAGTCAGACTCAGACTCAGCAACAAGACTAGCGGCGTAGTCGAAACGACAGGCAGCAACAAGTCAACAAGCTCAGCAACTAGGGCAGACGCAGTAGCAGACTCAAACGTAGGGAAGCGAGATGAGTCGCTTGATGCCTCGTTCTGCGAGGTAATGCTTGAACCTCTAGGACTGATATGCCCCTCCTCCGTCAGACTGGAAGCTTTTCAACTTTGCTCCCGATTCTCGTTTTGCCCCAGGTAGCCAGGCGACGAAAGCTTCGAAGGCAATGTCGCGACTTGGGAGATTAAGATGCCAGACGTAACGGGTGGCGGCGTTGATGAAAGTAATCACGTAATTATATGCACCTTGTCCTTGTTCGCGAGTATACAGGATGTTGCTGTATACTTTCTCGAGTAGTGCATAGGTTGGCGCGCTTGGATTGTGGTGAGAGACAAACGGTTGATGGGGTAAGTCGACTTCGGGACAGGTAAAGCATGTTCCGCGGACTCGTTGGAGTTCTCTGCCGTCGGGTACTGCTGCCTTGATTGTATTGTTTAACGTGGTGTTGCTAGGATGACCCAGTCGTTCGTGCCACAGGGATTCGCTCGCGCGATGTCCGGGTGAGCGCCTGTACAGGTCGGAGTTGGAGTAAAAACCCGCGGTGAAGTTGGCGTTTCTGTGAACTTCACGTGGAGTGGGAGCTAACTGCTGCGCAGGAGTCGGTGGGGTGTCGTCGATGAAGGTTGGTGCCGTCGAAGAGCTCGCGATTGGTGCTGTAAGTGTTGCTGTTGTTGCGGATGTTGTCTCTGCTGCTGTCGATGTTGTTTCTTCTTGCCGGATTGTTGCTAATGCCCGTGTTCTTTCTGCTTCAGGTATGGTATGTGAATACCAGAATCCTCCAGGCGTGAAGTCGGGATCGAGGTCCGGTGGATGTGTCCAAGAAGCGAAGTTGACGATGGCGTCGCTGTCGGCGGTTCCTTGGTCTGGTACGAAATCAAGAACGAAGACATTATTCTTCAAGACTTCTCTGCCGATGTAGAGTCCTCCTTTACCGTGGAATAACTTGAACTTCTGAGTGGTGATGTCTGCTTCAAGATGAATACCCTTCGCCATCAATTGGCTGACGCTCAGTAGGTTGTAGCCGAGTCCTTCTGCAATCAAAACTTTGGACATTTGTAGGATGACATTAGTTTCTCGAGACTGAAGTTGTACTATCCCTTGTCGTGCAGGTTCTGGTTGTTGGCCACGGTGATGACAACTTCGCGCTGAAGTTGATGTTCTTGTTGAACGAAGCGACTCGAGGAGCACATGTGCTGTCCGCAGCAACTGTCTAAGAACCAAGTGTCTTGCCCGGACGGCTCACTTTGGGCGATGGCTGCATACGTCGGATTGGGCTCCAGTGATTCGCGGCGAGGAGTCGTCTCATCGAGCTGTTCTTCTGGTGAGTAGTGGGGTGGTGATCCGGTGATGCAGGAGTCTGCCGTTCTTGTCATGCAGCTTACGATGTTTCTTGTTCCTTGTGCAGATTGTGTTGTTGAAGATGTTGAAGGCTGCACTTGATTGGTGGGATGCACCTGCGTAGAAGCTACTTGACTGCTTGAAGGCCGAAGTTGACGTTGTGGCGTTGTCGATTGCTGCTGATTTGGGCAGTGTGTGCGCGGATGTCCGGACGTCTTGCAAAGATGACAGAATGGTGGGACGTACTGTTGTACTTGTCGGTTGTTGTGTCGGTTGTTGTTGTTGTTGTTGTAGCGTCGTTGAGTGTGAAAGGCGAATTCTGGTGCTGACGCTTTCTTCTTGTGTCGTTCTTCGTGCAGGTCCATATCCTGCTGTTCAGCGTGAATTTCGGCGCAGAGTGCTGCTTCGGAGATCTTCCCGTGAGCTCGAAGGAGTGCTCGAGTGGAGCGCCAATGAGGACCAAGGCCGGCGATGATGACTGTTACAAAAGCTTCTTCGGATATTGATCCTCCGCATCGAAGGAGTCTGTCGCGCAGTCCGCAACAACGGCTAATATACGCCATTCCCTTTTCGCCGGGTTTCATTTCCACTGTTGTCAACTGTGCCATGAGACGACTCTGGTTAACACTGTCTGTTTCTTGATACAGGCTCTTCAGGTGGTCGTACGCCAGCTCGGCGGAGTTGCCGTATCCTCGATAAGACCGAATGTTTTGCTGCTCATTTGGCGTTAAATTTCGAAGAAGTATCGTGTACGCCATTAGCGACTGATACGTATACTGCTGCTTGTCGTACTGTATCCCGTGTGCTGGATATGGCAGGGTCCCATCGAAGAATCCGAGAATTTGCGCGCCCTCCATCATCAGCTCAAATTCGAATGACCACGTATAAAAATCATTCCCGTCGAAAAGCGTTGACGTTTGCAATTTTAGAACATGTGCGAATTGCGATTGCACATGAAGCGCGTCCAGTGTCTTCTCTTGTCCAGGTGAAGACCGCGGCTGCGGCGCGAAACTGATGGAGCCGCGTTGAGGCTCATACGGGGCAAATATGTGTTGTTGATTTCCACGCGCATAGGATGAACCATCGAGGCTCATTGGAGTTGCTCTGTTGTTGTTGTCGCTGTTGTTTGATTGCGCAAGAGCCGCTTGCTGGTGTTGCTCGTAGAAGGACATGAAGGAGAAAAACTTCTCCATCAAGTTTGGGTCGAAGCCTGCTGGTTGATTCCCGGGAGTTTCCGTTGACTCTGCAGCTGGTCTTGTTGCTATGCCTTCTTCTGTCTGGAGGTGGAGTAGGGGTAGTTCCGAGAGATCCGTTGGAGGAGCTCCTCTCCTTTTGTGTTGCCATGTCTTGCGTTGTTGTAGATATTTAAGAAAATTATCTTGCCCTGCCTGCTCTCATACCATGTTGGGCTGAGAAAAGCCCTTAGGATCTTTCAAGGCTAAAATCAAGTGTTGAAGTAGAGATGTTGTAATCGCGGAAGCGTTTATAAGAGTTGCTTGAACCACCTTGTACTGGTGTGTGAGAACAAGATAAGTTAATAATAGCAAAGAGATACAAGCTTTTTATATGATTACAAAGAAATATGAAAAGTTCTACTTTATTTTTTTTCGCTGTTGCGGTTCGATACAGTGACGACTCGGGTAACTGCTCAGTAACGAGTCAGTTATGTGTCCTTGCTGTCGCACTGTACTTTTCGTCAAGTCAAAAGTCAGCGACCTTTGACCTTCGCGTAATCTCCAGCGGTTGTTTTGGTTGACTCGTGTGTTTCTTCGCTGTTGTCAGCTCCGTTTCGTGTCGACACTTCGATACGACAGAAGCGTTTAAATTACTTGTTTCCAACAGTAGTGAAACCTGTAGGTACATTGTGTTCACTTTTTTCAATGTTTCATTGAATTTATTCCATTCCATTTCAGGTAACAACTTTCAGAAGACTTGGAAGTAGGGTGTGTCAGATTTTTTGTGATCAAGGGTTTTTACCGCGGACGGGCTGTGGGAAACCACATAGGCGGGGAAACTAGACTGGAATGTGTCGGTTTCGGGGTTTCCCCAACCTCCGACGTCATAAAAGTAACTGAATGACTGAACATTGAACGGCGCCTGCTGTTTTCGCAGATTCTCCCTTAGGGCGTGTCCAGCGCGTACATTTAGTACCTTCACACGCATCCCGGCTCAAAAAATCTCACTGTACCAAAAAACGAATATAAGGTGAGTCGAGTCCGAAGGATTGGGCCTTCCAGCGCGCGGACACAACCCTCTGCACACAAATTTCTACAGTTCGTGGAAAACGAGGTAACTGGTTGCCTCGTCTATCATCGCACAGAAATTCACGCACAAGCGAAAATTCCACGCTTGAACGAAAATTACTGTAGCGGGCAGGACGCAATGCTGTACCCTTGTTCGCGCGCACACCGATTCCAGTAACGTGTGTTAGACGATTCGTCGTACGCGCAGCGGGCGTGCCGTCTTGTGAACGGAAGCTGATCGTGTCCAACCTTTTTGTAAAATGCAGTGTTACAATAGGAAATGTGGTAACTGAATGGGTTTATGAACTGTAAATGTACGCGCTGGACACGCCCTAATGGAAACCCTTCGGTGCTGCTCGTCAGCCCAAGCTGCTTCGCCAAGCGGGAGTGCCGGGCCACTTTTCCCGCCACAAAACCTGGTCTTTTGGTTGCGTTTGTGTTGAGTTTTCGTTGGGTTGGCTCGACTTTTTCGTCGGGTTCACCCAGTCCCGTGGGAATGATCCTTATCAATGATGTGTTTGTACAGTTAGTCAATCTGAAACCGCGGAGATAACAGGCGCGTTTGCTTAGATTTCACAGTGGCCACTGTGTCCGGGCAGCCATGGAATCAGCGCAGCGGGGCAACCGTTCGCGCCGTTCGATCGCATGTGCTATTATCATATGCGTCACCGTCTGCTCGGTTGGTTTCGCGTTTTTTCTCTTCGTCAGTCATTGCTCGCCACATATCACGTTATCGCACAGCTGCTCAGCTCCAGGTAGCACCTTATCCAGATTCCATGTCGAATTCTCGAGGTATTCCGCTGATATTCTCGAAACAAGTCGCAATTTCGTAGACCGCATACGTTCTCTAGGCAGATCGGAGGGTGATGCCCTCGCTACGGAGCCGCAGCAGACTGAAGAGGGAGAGACCTCGCGGCCTGTCGTGCAGACCGAACGCGCAGAGGATGGCGTAGCAGGAGGTCCTGAAATTCCTGATAAAGAGATCCTCGGAGGGTCTCGAGAATGTCGAGGGAAACAGTCAAACAATGACGGCCGAGAATTAGGGGCAAGAGGCCAAGAATCAGGGATCGGCTCAAGAATCGGGCAAGGGACGTGCAAGGGATCGCGTGGGGACGAGGAGTGGCTTGCGGCATGGGCGGCAGTCTCGCGAGATGTGAACGCGAGCATTGCGGCTCACCTGGGGACCGCCACCAGGTGAATCTTCAGGTGAATGCTCAGGTGAATGATGGTGGGGGGTGCGTTATGGTGCACGAGCATTATGGTAAATCAGATTGCGTGACGGTGCATGGGTGGTGCAGAGTGGTGGATGAATGGTGCATGCTTGATGGTGCATGCATGTAGAGGTGGCCAGTGCTGGAAGGGGAACCTGGAACCAATAGTCCTTCTGAGAATCACCGAAGAGACTCAGAACTGGAAGGAATGGTCCGTAGAGGTACTCCTGAAGGGCTACAGGTGCGGGGTTTTGAGACGTCTCAAAATCCAACTGTTATCAGGTGCGGGGTCTTCTTTGGAATTCTGAAGAATGCCTTGCAGGTCATTTACAAGGGTTACAGGTGCAGCAAATTGCTACTGTCACCATCGTCAGGCGTCAAACCCCAAACCCCAAACCCGAGGTCCCTGAAGCCTTCTATCCCAAACCTCATCCCAACGCACATGCCACTGGTAATCGTTACCCTCTGCCATCCCTCTTGTAATCAGGTACGACCACTTGCTTATAGTAGTAGCAAGCGGGTTGCAACACTCTAAAGCCACACGTGTTCTCCCATTGCCCCCTATAGCATGCTGCACCGCCCACCTCTGCCGCAACCCGTCCTATTCTCCCACCACGCGTTTCTCTCCGCCTGCTCCCCGCCCTCCCCCGCTCTCCTCTCATAATCCCATTCCTCCCTTCATGCCTCGGCCCCTTGACCCCCCTGCCCCCTGCCGCCAGGTGACTCGCTAGCAGCAGCGGGCGGCCCACAGTACCTGAAGCACCGCAACCCGCCGCCCTCCTCATGAATCCCCCCTTGATTTCCTCCCCTCCCCCTCCTCATGAATCCCCCCTTGATTTCCTCCCCTCCCCCTCCTCATGAATCCCCCCTTTATTTCCTCCCCTCCCCCTCCCCCACGCTTAATCTCCAGGTACGAGGACTCACTAGCAGCAGCGGGCGGCCCACAGTATCTCAATCGCCTCAACCTGCCCATCTACCTCCTTCTCCTTGTGCGCCCTCCCTGCCCTCCCGCTCCCTGGCCCCTCTGCCCCCCTTGTCCCTTATCCCCAGGTACGAGGACTCGTTAGCAGCAGCGGGCGGCCCGCAGTACCTAGAGCACCTCAACCTGCCGCCCTCCTGCACGCCCATCTACCTCTTCCTCCTCGTGCGCCCTGCTCTCCCCTTCCTCTCATGGCTTTCTCAAGCTTTACTTTGAGTCTGTCTGTCTCGTTTGAGTCCACACACCTCAACCTGCCGCTCTCCTGCACGCCCATCTACCTCTTCCTCCTCGTGCGCCCTCCCTGCCCTCCTGCTCCATGCCTTGCCTGCCCTGTGTTTCCGTGCTCTCTTGCGCCTAATTTTGAGTCTGTCTGAGTCATTTAAGCCCACGTACCTCAACCTGCCACCCTCCTGCGCGCCCATCTACCTCTTCCTCCTCGTGCGCCCTCCCTGCCCTGCCCTGCCCTGCCTTTCCGTGCTCTCTTTTCACCTTTCTTGTGTGTATCCGTGTTTTATTCCACGCACATCAGCGTGCCTGCCACCTGCTCCCTGTGCCCGTCTGCACTGCCTCCTCTTTGTGCCACGCTTCTCCTTTCCCATTCTTCCACTCCCCCGTGCCTCCCATCCCATCTCCGCACATCCAGGCCAGGCATGGAGCAGGGGAGCCAAGCCAACCAAGAGTCACATCCACCAGCTGAGCTGAGCGAGCTCGCCCCCACAATCAGACGTGCATTTGCTGCCTCTGTATCTCCCTCTGCCGCCTTGCTCCTCATGTTCCCGTCCCCTCATTCCAGGCCAGGCACGGAGCAAGGGAGCCAACCAAGCGTCGCGTGCACCAGTTGAACGAGCTCGCCCCCAAGCTCAGACGCACCTTTGCTGCTGCCAGCGTTGCTGCCTCTAGATCTGTTACTGCCACTGCACCTGTTCCTCCGGCTGCCTCTGCCTCTGCTGCCTCTGCACCTGCCCCTTCAGCTACCTCTGCCTCTGCTGCCTCTCCTGCATCTCCGGCCGCTGCTTTTGCAAGCACATCAGCAGCAGCCCAGTCACGTCTAAGCCTCTCCGAGTGGATGCGGGGGTACCGGTCGCCATGGGAGGGGATGCAGGGGGGAGGTGAGCTGCTGAGGGAGGGCGAGGAGGAGCTGTATCGCATGGGCGGGCGGTTCAGGAGGCGATTTCCCTCCCTGCTTGGAGGCTTGTATCACAGCAAGGCGGTGAAACTGTTCTCAACGCAGGTAACTTTGTCAGCCCTTTAGGGGGGGCCGGGGGGACAGGGCTGTGATCTGCTGAGCCAGGGAGAGGAGGAGCTGTACTGCATGGGTGGGCAGTGCAAGTGAGGCTTTTCCACGTCGGTTGGGGGCTCGTATCATGGCAAGGCCGCCAAACTGTTCTCCATGCAGGTGTGTGCTGCTGTGAGAGGGAGAGGAGGAGCTGTACCGCATGAGTGGGCGGTTCAAGAGGCGGTTTTCCTCGTTGCTGGGCGGTTCATACCACAGCAAGGCCGTCAAGCTGTTCTCCACGCAGGTGGGTGGCCTCTAAGTCTCCCACAGTTGATGCGAGGGTACCAGTCACCATGGGAGGGGATGCAGGGGGGAGGCGAGCCGCTGAGGGAGGGCGAGGAGGAGCTGTACTGCATGGGCGGACGGTTCAGGAGGCGATTTCCCTCTCTGCTTGGGGGAGTGTATCACAGCAAAAGCGGCGACGCTGTTCTCCGCTCAGGTGATGAAGTCAGCCCTTTGGAGGGGGGCGGGGGAAGGGAAAGGCGAGCAGGTGAGGCAGGCGAGGAGGAGCTGTATCGCATGGGGTGGATGGCTGGTATCTTCAATTCCAAGCTTGCAGCTCTCTCCTCCTCCCCCCATCACCTTCTCTCAGGTCGCACGTTCACCTCACTGTTGTCATCGGCCTTTTTGAGAACTCGGCCTCACTCACCTTTTGAGGAGCCTCAAGAATCAAGCTGCACATGTATCTCCTCTCTTCCCTTATGCCCCGTTTTCTACGGTCCCTGTTTTCCCCTCTCCTCCACCTCCATCCTAATTTCCCCCTTTTCAGGTCGCCCGTTCAGCAGCCAGTGCAGTCGCCTTTGCCATCGGCCTCCTAGAGAACTCCGGCTCCCTCACCCCCGCGCGCCTTCGCGCCTTCCCGGTAATTTCCGAAACCCAGGAAGGCGACACGAAGCTTCGTTTCCACAACCTGTGCGGCGCGTACGTGGCTGTGAAGGAGAACGCGCAGGGGCGGCTGGATGAAGGGTGGGAGGTGCTGTGGGGGGAAATTGCCCGAGATATCAACCAACGGCTGGGATTGGTTCCTGAGTCACCTGGGGCTTGTGAGTCACCTGGGGCTTGTGAGTCACCTGGGGCTTGTGAGTCACCTGGGGCTTCTGAGTCAGCTGGGGCTCAAAAGAAGGAGGGGGTAGTGGGGGATGTTGCAGGGGATGGGAATGAGAAGCTGGGGCTGGAATATGGGGGGCTGCAGGGGGATGGAATGGACGGTGGGGATGCGGGGCTGGAGGCTGCGGCAGTTGATCTGACAGTGTACGATGTGAGTGGGCTGTGGCTGCAGTGCAAGCACGAGGCAGGGGTGCTGCTGAGAGGATGGGGGGGAGATGGGAGAGAAGGAGCGGAGGATGATGATCACCTGGGCTCGGCCTCCCGCGCGTGTGGCCTGTTCTCGGCGCGCCACCTGGCGGTGCTGGAGTGGATTGATGACGTGGACACGTTCATGCAGAAGGGGTATGGGCGGGAGATTAACTACCACATGGGTCTAAACCTGCTGCAGGAACTAAGCGAGAGAATGGTCAATGCGCGGCTTAGGAGGCTCTGGGAGGAAGGGCGCTTGGGGGCGGCAGCAGATGGGGTGGGGGAAGGGGGAGTTGGGAGCGGTGGGGTGGGTGGGAAGGAGGAGAAGGAAGAGGGGAAGGAGGGGAAGGAAGAGGGGAAGGAGGGGGAAGGGAGGGTAGGGAAGAAGGGGAAGAAGGAGAAGAAAGGGAAGAAGGAGAAGGATGGGTGGAGGGATGGGGTGAGGGAGAGGGCTGCTTTGCACTTTGGCCATGCAGAAACAGTCATTCCGTTTGCATGCCTCCTGGGACTGTACAAGCCAGACTCCTCTAACGAGGCCGCCAGTAAAGAGAATGAACGTGCACACCAGAAATCTGAAGAGCAGGAGAAACAGCAGCAGCAGCAGCAGCAGCAACAGCAGGAGAAGGAAGGGCAGCAACATGACAAGTACGACGTGCTAATGGCGAAGGTGGCTGCTACAATCACGCAGCAGTTCGCCCCACCAGAGCTGCTGCCTCCTCCCCCTCCATCGCAGCGGCGCTGGCAGGCCAGCCAGATCGCACCGTACGCTGCCAACACTGCTGTCATCCTCTTCAGGTGCGTGCCATGGCAGTAGGCGATTCTTGAGTTACTAATGACCCACCACCACCCACCCTGCACCGACGCTGGCAGACCAGCCAGATTGTACCCTACGCCGCCAACACTGCCATCATTCTCTTCAGGTGCGAGCCGCAGGTGATTAGAGTTGATAGAAAAATCACCTCCGCCTCTCCATTGCCTTGGCGCTGGCAGTCTAGCCAGATCGCACCCTATGCCGCCAACACTGCCGTCATCCTCTTCAGGTGCGTGCAGTAGGCGGTTTTTGAGTTACTAATCACCCACCACCACCCACCCTGCACCGACGCTGGCCGTCCAGCCAGATCGCACCCTATGCTGCCAACACAGCCGTCATCCTGTTCAGGTGTGGCAGTCAGCGTTCTGAGCGAGTACTCTACCAAGAGTTTTTAGGCTTCAGCTGGCTAGAGTGTTTCTCCCTTTCCTCACTGGAAGAGAGTTCTCAGTTCCCTTTTACAGCACCTTATGAGTTGTCTAAAGAATTGTGAGATTTCATTGCTGTCTCTTCTTCAGGGTGTCGATTTTTGAGTCGACTCAAAAGTCGACTCAAAAATCGACTCACTACACGCCTTTTACAGCACCTTATGAGTTGTCTAAAGAATTGCGAGATTTCATTGCTGTCTCTTCTTCAGGGTGTTTCTGAGAATTCTAAATAAACCAGCCTGCAAAATCAGGTTGGGCTTCTCTTTGGTCTCGTGCTTTGTGGTTGCGCGAAGGTTTTCCTTGTTCGACTACGTGTTGCGCTGCGAGTAATCAACCATGCTTCGAGCTTCCAATGCTGCTGCTGTGCTTTTCAGGTGTGGTCCTAATGAGACTGATGGGCTTCATGGGTCGAGCAATGCTGCCGTTAATTCCGGTGCTTGTGACGGCGCTGGTGGTGGTGGCAGTGGCAGCAACACCGTTGGAGGAGGAGAGGGGAATTTCGACACAAATGCGTGTGATGATGTGCATGCCAATGTGGAGGCTAAGGCGGTGTGGGCGGATGGCTTTGCAGTGGCAGTTATGCACAACGAGCGCTTCGTGCCGCTGCCGGTTAGCCGCTTCCATTGTTGCTTGGACTAGTTGGGAGGGTCGTTGACTGGTTGGGCTCACCTCATCGGCATGGGCATTTTTTTGAGCCGCCTGCTTTGCAGTGGCAGTGATGCACAATGAGCGCTTCGTGCCGCTGCCAGTGAGCTGAGCCGCTGTTTGGGTTGGATGGGTGGGTGGGCCATTTGCTATTTTCTCTCACCTCATGCTCTGCAGTGGCAGTGATGCACAACAAGCGCTTCGTGCCACTGCCGGTGAGCTGAGCCGCTTGCTTGCTTGCTTGCACGGGTGCTTGGACTGGTTTCGTTTTTGGTGGGCCGTTCGCTCGTTCGTTCGCCATTGTTTTGCTTATTGCTTAGCTGCGGGCCGTATGTGTCTCTTTATCCAATCGCTCCCACACCTTGTTCCCCCCTATCCTTCACCTTTATCACCATCCCTCTAAATCTCTCTACCCCTCCCTTTCCTTTCCATAACTCTCCTTCATTACCCGTTCCAGTGCGTGTGTTTTCCTCCTCGCGCCCCTCTGTGCCCCTCTGCTTCCTGCTGTACCCCTCTGCGCCCCTCTGTGCCCCTCTGTGCCCCTCTGCATATCGTGTGCGACCCCCCTCAGCTGTGTGGAGGGAGGGTGGTCTGTCCCTTCAGTATGTTCCAGGTGCCAAACCTTGCCCCTCACATACACTCTTTACTTCCTGCTGTTCTTACTGCGTGATAAGAGTAGTATTTTGAGACGTCTCAAAACACTGCCCTCTCTCTTACATCTTTTATGCTCTTCTTGCTGCGCCTGCATCTGCCTCCCAGTCGCTCCTCTTCTCTGCATCTCCATCCTTCATGCGAGCTGCTCCTTTTTAGGTGACTTAATGCTGCTCTTGCTGCATGATAAAAGAGGTGACTTTTGAGTCGACTCAAAAGAGGTGACTTTTGAGACGACTCAAAAGTCACATCGCTCGTCTTCTCCGCATCTCCATCCTCCATGCGAGCTGCTCTTGTCTGCATGAGGTCAAGCAGGCTCGTTTCAAACCAGGAAGGAATATGCTTTTTGAGAATTCTCAGAAAAAAACAAAAAAGTCTCAATTCAAAACAGGAAGGAAATCCCTGCTTCAATGCACCATCCGCATGTGCCATCTGCATGTGCCATCTGCATGTGCCACCTGCATGTGCCATCCGCATGTGCCATCCGCATGTGCCATCCGCACGTGCCATCCGCATGTGCCATCCACAAGTGCCATCCACATGTGCCATCTGCATGTGCCGCCTGCATGTGCCGCCTGGGGGTGCATGAGGGCACATCTCTGCTCATCTCTGCCGTCAGGCAGTATTGTGGTCTGTAATTCCCCTTTTCCCGTCCTTTCTGTGCTTTCTGATTCGCAGAAAGCAGTTTTGGAGGCATATCTGCAGCACACATATGAGTCTGTGTGCGCGTGGTCTCCCCCGTAGCACTCTTGAGAGTTCTAAAAAACGACACAACGGTCCATTCTGGAGGCGTGTATCCTAAGCATACGTGTATCTTCTCTCTATGTGCTTGGTCATCTTAGTTGTAACCCAGGCTAGCTGTAAAGATGAGCTCCGCATGAATTTTGTTTTCACCATTTGTACCTATATGTACATGTGTAGTGTAGAGTGCCATTGTACTGTGCATGCAGTGTCATGGCGCAACTTTTGTCTTCTATTAGTGTTCCCTCCATACGCATGCAGGTTTGCTCAGTATGCTAAATTTGAAACACATGAAGTGTTTTTTTACATTACGTATTTCGAAAGCGTAGCTTCTTGTAACGCAGATTTTGGCACCGTCGAAGCACGCTAACTAATCGCCTTCCTCCAACTACAAATCGTGGGTTGGAGCTCATTTCCCTCCACCCACGTCTCTCATTTTTCGAACGGCCCGTGCAACTCTCCTACCCCCCGCCCACCAAGAGATATCATTGTGTCGGAAAACTCGCTGCTCCTCTTCTCCTTCTCTCTCACTGCTGCTGGCCAATTGTCACTGAGGCTTCTTCCACCCTTTTACAGCTCCCTCTGGACCTTGTTTCCTTGAACGTCACCCTTCCTGCTTCTGCTGCTGTGACCGATGTTACCCCTTCACTCTTCGTGGTCCGAGAAGGAACACCCACTTGCCCCCTCTGGAGTAGACTACGGCTCCTGCATCGTCTGTTCCAGACGTCCAGCGCTCCTGGTTCGTGCCCTTGCTGGGTTTGTGATGTGATCTCTCACCCGCCTGCCTTGCTGGTTCTCCAGCACCACCACGCATGGCTCTCGAGCTTCCACCACTCTCCAGAGTTCCTCGCTGAGTCCCCGATCCAACACATTCTGTCGTGCAGTGCGGCGATACACCTCTTGGCCTTCTTGAGGCTGATCCCCCCTTGGAGCCTGTGCGCCTCCCAGCCTCTGTTGGTACCGCTGGGCATCTCGCAGCTGAGCGACGTGCACGTTCTCCAGAGCCGATGGCAAGAGAGAGCGGAGGTAGTCTCCTCTAACCTTGGCCAGCGCCGCCCACAGCTCCGGTGCTCCTGTTGTCACCACCTCTGTCAGCACCCGAGGTGCTCCCATTGGCAGGATGGGGTCTCGCCCATACAGGAGATAGTATGGGGAGACATAGCGTAGCGCGGCTTGCTTGCTGAAGCAGTAGCCCGCCGCCACCCAGTGTAGGTCTGTATCTGAGGTGCGCTGGTGCGCTTCCCTGTATGCTCGCAGACCTCGCTTCAGCGTCTGCACCATGCGCTCGGTGAGCCCGTCCGCCTAGGGGTGATAGCGAGAGTTTCTCCTGTCGGTGAGCCCTATCCCTATCGCGCGCACGTCCACCCACTTGCTTACATGCTCGATCATGACGGGGATGTACTTCTTTCCCCGCCGTGTGATGGGCAGCTCTCCTGCCATGTCAAGAGACCACCTGTAGCCTAGCCCTCTGATGGGCAGAGACTGCAGCTGCTGCTGGCCGGTTCCTGTCACACGCCTCGCACTGCGCCACATACTCTCGGATCTGCCTTGCCATCCCTGCCCACCACCAACCCGTGTTGACGAGCTGCGTGGTTCTGACATGCCCATAGTGCCCCAACTGTTGGTGTACCCTGCTGATGATGCCTTCCCTCTCCGATGGTGCTGGGACCAGCTTCCATCCCTCCCGCGTCCTCAGCTGCACCTGCCCTGCATACCACTGGTAATGCTGCCCTCGTGCTCGTGCCTGCTCTGACACCTGCTCCTCTGCTTCTGTCTCTCCTCTGAGACATCGCAGCGTCTCTGGATCTGCCCATACGTCTGGCGTCCCCCGTGCCTCCTGCTGTGCCCCCGCCTGCCTTTCCACCTCTGAGCCAACGCCACCAGACACGCGACTGGTTCGTCAGGTGGGGGATTGCGGGACAGCCATCCACGTATTGTAGCGTGCGACCCGGGCGATGCTTGACTATGAAGTCAAATTCCTGCAGCCTCATGGCCTAGCGCGCGTTCCTTCCTGTCACTGAGCGATTTGTCTTAAGCCAAAGAAGTGGCTGATGGTCAGTGACCAAGGTGAACTCACGCCCTTGTAGGTACACCCAGAAGTGTGTGACCGCCCACACCGCTGCCAGCCCCTCCCGCTCGTAGGAGCTGTAATTGGCTTCTGCGGCGTTACAGCTGCGGCTGGCGAAGGCCACCACCCTTTTCCCCGCATCTGTCTGCTGACAGAGCACCGCTCCCATGCCTGCACTGCTCCAGTCGGTGTAGAGGGTAAATCTCCCTTCTGGCTTCGGCAACTGCAGCACCGACCTTGTCTTCACTGCATCCAGCAGTTCCTGTAGTGCCCCCTCTCTCTCAGCAGCTGGTTAAGGCAGGCAACCCTTTTGCTGAAGTTAGGCACGAACTTCCTATAGTAGTTGAGGAACCCCAGGATAGCCCGCAGCGTGGTGCGGTTCTCGGGCACTGCCAGCTTATCCAGGACCGCCACTTTGGCTTGCTGGATTGTCATCTGTCCCCCGCAAACCTCAAAGCCCAGGTACTGCACCGTCAGCGAGCCGAACACGCACTTCTTGGGGTGACACATGAGCCCCGCCGCCCGCATAGCCTCCAGCACACGCTTCACATCCACCACGTGCTGCTCTGCCGACGAACTGAAGACCACTACATCGTCAACGTAGCACGCCGCGCAGTGTTGCAGAGCTCGCAGAACCTGGTCCATCGCCCGCTGAAAGGACTCTGAGGCGTTCTTAAGCCCAAAGAGCATAAACAGCCACTCGTAGAGGCCGTCTGGCCCATGGAAGGCTGTCTTGCACATGTCAGCTGATGCTATCCTGATTTGGTTGAACCCTTGGCGAAGGTCTAAGGTGCTGAACACGCTCGCACCCTGGAGTTTGTCGAAGATTTCTTATGGAGTTGGCATCGGGTACCGATCTGGCAGCGTCAACTTGTTCAGGTCGCACATCCGTCGTGACAAGATCCCTCCTGTCAGTTCCTTCCTTGCTGCCACCATAGTCGCGGCTGCATATTCTGATTCCGAGGGCCTGATCAGACCTGCCTCCAGCAGCTCCCGACACTTCTCCAGGCAGATTTCCAGGTCCCCTAGACTCATCCTCCGTTTGCGCTAGTACACCGGGATCTCCTCCGTCAGCTTGATCTCTAGCTCTCTCCCCGTGTACTTACCCTGCTCCAGCAGGGTAAATGCGAACGCCTTCCAGTTATCCTTCAGTATCTCCCACATTTTCTCCTTCAGGCCTCCTTGCAGGCCCAATGCACCTCCACCCTGACCTCTCGCCCTGCTGGTACACTCCCTTGCTGTGATTCTTGCCACGGCGCCTCTCCCTGTTCTCCTTCCACTTGCGGCTCCCGCTGCTCACTCGCCTCCGTCTGACCCGTATCACTCTCCGCCTCCATGGCGGGCGGTTCAATCCAACTATCCGCCTCTGCCGCTCCCTCGCCCATGCTTACTTCCTTCGCCATCAGTGCCCAGCCTCGTTCGCGATGCTGTTGCCTCTCCACTCGCATTTCTAGCAGATTGTGCTCCGACCTCTGCTGGCTGGCTGCCACGTGGTCCTTGGTGTCATCTCCTGGGCCACCCACTCCTGCCTCCATCTCCAGATGCTTTGCCACCAGGTGCATCTGTTTGACATGCACCTGTAAGAATCGTGAACAAAGGAATGACTGAATTAGCAAGCAGGTGGGTACAAGTAGCAAACCTAAAAGTGTTGTACCCTATATGAACTACCCCACTACAGCCTAGACAGACTATAGCATATAAGTTTGACACACCCCCATAGGCAAAGTGGGGGAGAACAAGAGGTCACAAGACCGGTCAAGAAAGGCAAAGCAAGCTCAGGGTGGATCACGACGTCACCACGCATTCTGAGCACTAGCAAATGGCCATAAGGCCAGTTCACATGCAGAGTTATATAAAGGAGAACAAACAATACAGTGAACACAACCTAACAAGTGTAAGCATGCAGGTATATGTATAGAGATCACAGTACAAGCAAAGTCAAGAAGTGAGCAAGTGAGGCCAAGTAGGCACAAGACCTAGCATAGTACAAAAGCGCTGATGATCACAAGGCTGAAGTGCCTTGGAAAAGATATCAGCAGTGTTGGCCTGAGTGGCCACGTAAGCAAGGCGAAGCTGACCATGCTGCTGCAACTCTCGAGCAAGGAAGTAGCGCAGAGCAATGTGCTTCGTTCTGTGCTCCAGTATGTGCTTCTGACACAAGGCAAGCATGGCCTTGTTGTCGACGTACAGAACTGGAGGAGAACGAGGCGCCTCTCCCAAGTCGGTCAGCAGGTAGGTGAGCCAGTGTAACTCCTGTGCAGCCATGGCCTCAGCGTAGATCTCAGCCTCACAACTGGAGCTGAGAACAGAAGACGAGCGGGTAGACCGCCGAGAGACAGAGCCGGAGCCAAGGCTGAAGGTGTAACCCTGTGACGATTGCTGCGTAGCCAAGTCATCAACCCAGGAAGCGTCTGCGTGACCAGTAAGGACAACTCGAGCCCGTCCTCCAAGCACGAGCCCCATGCCCGACGTACTGCACAAGTAGCGCAGTACCCTCTTCGCAGCATCCCAGTGCACCTTTCGGTGCCTACCGGGAGCCACGTAGCAAGCCAGAAGGTTGAGAGGGTATGCGAGGTCAGGTCGAGTGCAGGTCATCAGGTACATGAGGCAGCCCACAAGCTCTGGATACGGGCCACTCGGCTCTACGGACTCGTCCGAAGGTGGAGCTGAGAGCGAGTGACCGGTAGGCAGAGGAGTGGACTGTGGCGAGGAGTACGTGAAGCCGAAGCGCTGAAGGACCTGCTGCACCATGTGTGACTGAGTCAAGGTAATGGTGCGCT